TCACAATAGCTTTTTAAATAGCAAAGTGCAATTTAATGGAACAACAAATAACTAAACGTTGTTTAAAGCTTGTTCCATAATATTTTGCAAGCCCATGAAAAAATAAAACAGTCAAAATTCAAAATTTAGCGTTATTTACACGGGTCTTACATAAATGTTATTTTTAATGAAATTCCAAAATTTTTAAAAATTATTAAATAACGGATGAGTTATTTATTAAAACTTCTACTTTTATATTCATAACTTACATGATTAATAGTTTATCAAGTAATATTTAAATGAGCCCTTAGTCGTCTAAAAAACTATTATTGATAATAAAATAACAAATAAAGAGTAGTATTCCTTTTTAGATGATGGAGCTCACCTAGAGTTGTTGATATTCTGCGAATATATTTTAAAAGCTCCAAGAAATATAAATTCAAAATATATATTAGAAAAGCGGTTTCCATTTAAATATTTCTTTTGGTGCGATATAAACATTTTATATTGACACAAACGAAATTTCCAAACCATCGTGTTGATATATATTTCCAAAATATAAATAGAATATTTGAATTTATCTATTTTTTCGTATATTTCTCTCTTTTATATTTATATATATTACTTTATATATTTCATCCCAATATATGCATTCTTATATATCTCCAAATATTTTTTGAAAGGATTAAAATTTTCACGTAACCTAAAAGTGAATAAAATGCTTAATGTATATTATATGTAATTTTATAAATTTCTATGCATTTTTGTCCAACACACTAACACTGTTTTACATTATACAATAGAAATATTAGGCGATTTATGGTTTATATATACAATAGCATATTTATATTTGTTCGAACTATTCCTACACATTATTCTATTAGCTATCAATTCCAAATTTCAACAGATATTATTTATTTTATCATAGAATCAGGCAAACATTTATAAACTATCTCTCAAAATGATTTTAAAAACTTATATTTAACACTTGTGTCTAAAATAATTAATTAATTATATTTTAAGTTAATTGGTTATATTTTGTTAATTGAAAAGAGATTATTTTGTTAACTATTTAATTTTAAATTTATATATTCTGGTATGTTTATATAAATAGTTGGAAAATATTTTAGTAATTAATGAATGTTTTTCAGAGTAGAAACAAATTTTGATGTAAATAATTTTAATAACGGGGAGGAGGGGACAAAAATAATTAGATATAAATATTTTATTTTTAAATTAAATATTAATCCCAGTACGTAATGCACGTAAATTAAATTTCTATCAAATAGTTTTCCAATTAAGTTTTTCCAACAAGATATCGTAATGTGAAATCTTTTCATATTTTATATTTCAGAACAACCAGATTCAATTGAATTTCACATGAGAGAGAGAGATTCGTTTTACTTTATTTAATTATAATATCAACCGATTAATGCACACATAGCAATGAGTCAATAATAATAATAAAACATTTATACTTGAAATTACTTAATTAACAAAGGAACAACGTAAATTAAATTTAGAACACAAATTGAAAACCTAAAATGAAATAACGTTTCTAAACAATGATATTCTTTAAGGTAATTTAATGAGATTTCTGGAAATGAACTTGTGTTAAAATATGGGGGTGTGCTTGAGTTTTCTAGCGTTCCTGATAGAGAGTTATCTAGAAGCTGCCGATGGAGACTCACATATGTGGTTCGCATTAATTAGAGTCAAATTAATTTTGGCATGACGCCATGGATTGGTGCTTACTTCATCAACTGCCCAACCACAGCGTTTGGTCTTTGGTAGCAGAAGACATCAATTACAGACCGATTTACTTATATCGTTATTCTAACCTCCAAATAATTGAATAATTTCAAAACAAATGTCATTTTTCAATATTGTTTAAATATAATTCGGCAATACATGATATAGGAAATCATTAAAAATATTTCATGCAAAAATAATCAAATAGTGTGCGATTTCATTGTCATTTTGTTATCCATATAGTATTAATTTTAAAAGGTATTCTATAAGTAATATTTATAGTTTTTTCTTTTAATTTTTGATATTCAAATTGTTTCCTTAATATGAGGAAATTTAAAGAAGTGAATAATGCCGGGGGATATAGATATA